GGTGGTCCCATTCCCTCTGCTGGGACACAGACCCCACTAAGATGAACTGCATGTTGGCCCTGTACCAGGACAAGGACACTTGGGGAAATGAGACTTGCAAGGGCTTGTCTTTACTCTTTAATGCACTAAAGAAGTCAGACCAAAGGGCAATCCCCTCTTTTTCTATAGAGAAGATGAATCACTCCTCATGTCTCTCTAGGCAAGGGGAAGGTTTCAGAACTCCTGTGAGGAAGTACTGACTTGTACCCATGTCCTAAATGTCTCTAAAGAGGGCAACATCTCGAAATTACGCATCCCCCAAGTGGATGTTTGGTGGTACTGTGGAAAGGAGAACCTGCACTATACTTGTTGCCACCCACCTGGACTGGGACTTGTGCTTTAGTCCAATTGGCCATTCCATAGAAGTTGTAGATCATTACAAGGCACCACTTTAGCTAATGAATTAGCTGAAAACTAGCACCAGTGACCCTTTTATAGACTGGTTGGAAAGATGGTTTGGAAAATAGAAAGATATAGTTGCCTCTGTTTTAAAATCCCTTGTTATAGTTGCCAGATTTAACTGCTGTAAGATGCTGTATCATCCCTTGTTGTGTGAAGTTTGACTCAAAAGCTTATAAAGGCAGCCATAAACAAGCAAATACCTATGACCTACACCCAAAATAATAATATTAGAAGAAAATTTGAACTATGAGGAAGAGAGTAAAAAGCTAGAGAAATCTGAGAAAGGACCAAGTGTAAATTAAAATACATTACTGAGAATAAAATCAGAAAAAATAAGTATCTCTGTCCTGAATGGACAAATCTTAATAGAATAAAAAAGGCAAGCAGATCCCATGTCCAAGGTGGAGCAGTGTTTGGTAGACTACCCAGTTTCAAGGGTGGACAGCCCCTCATGCAGTAGAAAAATCTTTAAAAAAAGAAAGCTCCACTTAGCTAAAGGAATTCCTCCTGACAATTGCCAGGATAGACAGTGTAAACCCCTTTTATTGACTATACATAAACCTCAAGACGGACTCAGTGCATATGTCATTGGAGTTGATCCTGTGGGAAGGTTTGGTCTTAATTTAATCAAAGGCAAGACTTCACCCATAGTGACCACCCCAATCCTGAGGGAAATATTGAGGCAGAGCTTCCCCAAAATGACCCTAGACTAGTTACTGTAACAGAGATAAAAGACCTAAAACACACTCTTGAAGTAGAGATAGGTTATGGAGACACCAATGCCTGGGTAGAGTGGGTTAAACTTTCAGTACTCACTTTGAATAAAAGCGATTGTTACGCATGTGCTGCTGGATACATGCTGGATGGCCACAGGTGCAGGTGGTCCCATTCCCTCTGCTGGGACACAGACCCCACTAAGATGAACTGCATGTTGGCCCTGTACCAGGACAAGGACACTTGGGGAAATGAGACTTGCAAGGGCTTGTCTTTACTCTTTAATGCACTAAAGAAGTCAGACCAAAGGGCAATCCCCTCTTTTTCTATAGAGAAGATGAATCACTCCTCATGTCTCTCTAGGCAAGGGGAAGGTTTCAGAACTCCTGTGAGGAAGTACTGACTTGTACCCATGTCCTAAATGTCTCTAAAGAGGGCAACATCTCGAAATTACGCATCCCCCAAGTGGATGTTTGGTGGTACTGTGGAAAGGAGAACCTGCACTATACTTGTTGCCACCCACCTGGACTGGGACTTGTGCTTTAGTCCAATTGGCCATTCCATAGAAGTTGTAGATCATTACAAGGCACCACTTTAGCTAATGAATTAGCTGAAAACTAGCACCAGTGACCCTTTTATAGACTGGTTGGAAAGATGGTTTGGAAAATAGAAAGATATAGTTGCCTCTGTTTTAAAATCCCTTGTTATAGTTGCCAGATTTAACTGCTGTAAGATGCTGTATCATCCCTTGTTGTGTGAAGTTTGACTCAAAAGCTTATAAAGGCAGCCATAAACAAGCAAATACCTATGACCTACACCCAAAATAATAATATTAGAAGAAAATTTGAACTATGAGGAAGAGAGTAAAAAGCTAGAGAAATCTGAGAAAGGACCAAGTGTAAATTAAAATACATTACTGAGAATAAAATCAGAAATTCTTAAAAAGAGGGGGGGGGAACTGTTAGGAAAGAGTATAAAACCTAAATGTGATTTATTCCCACTAGGATGTTTAAACATTTTAACAGTAAGATATTAACAAAGGGCCATGTGGTGGAAGCTGCTCGGGCTGAGAGTGGGGGTGGGGGAATTGATAAGGGCCTGGCAATACCTGTTTGAGTTTTTTTAAACCTACCAATAAAATTAAGACAGATGTAAAAGAAAGATATAACTGGCTTAGGTGACGTCGGGGAAAGAATGTGAACCCTGTAGTACTCAACCAATGAGGAACCAGGGGAGGGACTCACGTACTAGGAGACAAATTATTGGTGCCAAACTCCCCAGGTGTGCCTGCCCACCAGACACCCGATCTTGCAAGACCGTCATTAAAGCCTCGCTCTGCTGTTCTGTCTCCGTGTCCACTTATTGAATTTGGACCAGTGAGTGTGTTTCTCACATACACAGAGTATGCAGATGTCCATTGTATGTTAATACAATCATAAGGTTAGTATGAATATAACCATACAGTATTGCTTAGAGATCATTTGGATGGAGCTACAATAATATGAAATGACAATACAAATTAAGAGTGGTTTACTAAAAAAAAAAATCTCTTGAAATAACAGTATACCAAAAAACACCAAACATTAGATGTCCCCAAGAATTTAGAAATGAGATACTGCTATAAAAGAAACTCCTTATACTATTATTTTAACTTTAATGAATAAAACCAGAGATCCACAAAGTCCTCTTCCAAAACAAATATTAAAACAGCTAAATGAAATAAAAGGTGTATTGATCGAAACTTGGAATTGTTCAAAATGGAGCCAGCTGACAGAATGTCCAAGCAATCTTCAGAATAGGTACTGCAGTATAACTCAAATCTGATCATTCTGATAATACACCTCAATATTAATCAACAGCTTGGCATTTGGGCCTTCTTAGGAGTTTGGGAGTTAAGGTATGAATTCAAATCCTGGTTTTGCAACTTATGTGCTATGTGTGGCCTTAGACATCATCACTTTCTATTTTGTTTTCTACTCCATAAACTGCATGTAAGACCTATTTCATACTATTGGTGCAAGGATTAAATGACATACAAAGCATCAGCTCAGTGCAAGACCAGATTAGCTCAGGAAAGTGTTGTTTCCAAGCCAAGAAATGGGCCTGAGTCAGGGAGAAGTGTAGATAGCCAGGTGAACTAATTAGTGAGTGTGAGAATATGGACTAAAGACTAACATAAATATCCAGATTTTTTGAATTCTATAAACATGGGATAAACATGTAAAACATGTACTACTTACCTACTAGACTATGTAGTAACAATTTCACTAAAAATCAAATTCTATTTCCAAACACAACAGGGCTAAGCATTTGGATATACAGACTCATTCTCATCAAAGAAAATATGGGCTGCAGCTGCAGACATGTCAAAATTAAACAGATTCTAAAGAATAATACAGTAGCTTGCTGAAAGAATGATAAACTCTTTAGGGGGGAAAAAAATAAAGGCTTTCTTGAATGAAGCAATCTGAATATTGTAAGTGAAGAATAAATTCAAGCAGTCATGGGCAGTTAGTTCATTCTCCTATCTAGTCTTCTTTCCACTTTTGCACCTATAACCCATGAATCCTAGACAAAGCAATGTAACTTGGCTATAATGTCAGGAAAATCACAGTAGTAAGGGGAACTAGAACAGTCTCAAGTTTCTAAGTGCAAGACTCTCACCTGTCCCAGAATGTTTCAGAATACTGTACCACCAAATACTTCTACAAAACCAGTATTATAAAGAATAACTATAATGCATGTCTTTTCCTCCTCAAATTCTTTCCTTAAAATAGAAGTGGAGGATAAGAACATAGAGATAATACTAATATAGGACATGGTAATGATACTCAGGTAATACTAATAAAAGAGAAAGCAACACATTATCTTTTAGAGATTTATTTTGCTGTATTTACAGGTGGAATGATGTCTAGAATATCTTCAAAATAACATGGAAAGGAAAGAAGAGGTGGAGATGAAACAAAATATGCCATGACTTGATAACTTGTAGCTGGGTAAGGGTTATGCAAAGAGCTCATTATACTGTTATGCTGAAATTTTCCATAGTAAGAAATTATATAAAATAGAAAAACAACTCCTTATAGAAAATCACACAAAAGTGAGTGTAGAATAAATAGTACAAGCCTTTAACCCCTTGAAACATTAATACTCCTGACTCTGAGAGCTTATGCCACCTTAAATTAATAATGACTGGTATACTCAGAATACATAAAGATACCACTTGAAGTAAGGATACCTAGAGGGCTTCTGAACTTCTCAATTGTGTATCAGCTAGAATACAGTCTGAGACTGGCCTCAAATCCCAAACTAATTAATACTACCAAAATGGACATTTAGGCGCTCACATCAATTGCATCTAAAAACGGAAGTCATAACTAACAACACCTCATTTCATGTTAATCATCTTCTCTATGCCTTCAGATGGACCACATTTATATACAAGTGAAGCACAGAGAGCAAAAAATATACTATTATCAGTTCCTTCTGATCACTGCCAAGCCAATTCACGAAGCACAGTTTCCAAGAATAGCTAATGTGCCACCACAATTTAAAACACTATTAACGACTACAGCATCAAGATTATCACCAATAACATTGCAGTATCTTGGTATGGTAACAGGGGTAACTACACTTAGTGTGGCAAGTATCTAGTAATATATGCAATTACTGAGTAATCATATTGTACACCTGGAACCAATATAACATTGTGTATCAACTTTATTCCAAATAAATTTTTTTAATCTTAAAAAAACTATTAACAATACTAGAATTAACAAAAACTTATACCAAGCCCCTTTACTTGTAACCATTACAGGAACAAAGAAGACAAGCATAATACATACTGGAGGCCGGCCAGGACGACCCCTTTTTCTTTTTCCTTTGACCTCTGTTTCTTCAAGTTCGCTGCCAGCATCGGAATGGGCAGTAGTTTCATTAGTTGAATCCCTAGAAAATGTGATATTATTTTTTAGTGAATAAATCAGTACGTACTTATAGCGTAGTCCTGTTCCACTACTTTCCTTACTTCATGCTGATTAGAAGTAGTTTATACTTCCACTTTCAGAAAAAATCTTTAGCAAATTGAAACTATTATCTTTCCTGCCTAATATCACCTAACACTGAGTGAAGTGAATTACCTAAGTAGAGAAATAAAGAGAAGGAAATGACTGCAGAAATGGCAGCTGCTATACAAAATCTAAATGTAAAATACAAGTATTGAAAAACACTAATTCTTCAGTATAAAAACATAAAGTCATGGGAGGAATTTTGCTCATTTTCATAAAATCATGAAAGTGGTATACTGGTAAATACTTAACAACTGGCTCTTTGAAAAAATCTATGCACATAAAAGATTAGAAATGTTACTGATATAAACATCTACAGGACACAATTTACAAAAAGCAATAAAATTTATAATATAATATTTGTAAATTCCATACAACTAATTGATTAACATAAAATAATTTTGTTAATTTTGCCAAACTCTTTTACCTATCACTAACTTATCATTATGACTGATGTATAATTAGGGTTTTCACACGACACACTTGAAACTACTGTTCACTTAAAAATTGGATGCACGAGAAATGACAAAGACATTTCTTGGAACTTCACTCAGTGGTGTGAGCAATTTCTTTACTTGTCAGATAATAACAAATACTAGAAGGATACTTCGATTTCCTGTGTTAGCATAGTATTATGACTATAGACCTGATACACCTTTAAATTTAATCTGCAGTACTAACAATTTCTCCTATACTTCACTGCCTAAACAAACATCAAAACAAAATTAGCCCTGATTTGTAGTCTCTGCTGACTTTGTAGAATATAAAAAGTGGTATCACTAAACAGAGTTGGGAAGTAACGAAGAGTAGTATACCACTAAAAAGTATTTCAATGACATAGATACAATAAAAACTTCAACAACACAGAAAATAGTATACATCTAAAATAATTAGTGATGAGCTTTAAATATTTACTACTTTTATTTTTAACATGATTTATTTAATTCTAAGTTTGTATAATTTAACTTTTTACAATGACTATGTTATATTTAATTGGGTCACAAAATTCCTGGCAATTTACTGTTCAACTTTACATGCCAGTATAGGCTGGCTCCAATATGGCACTGAAAAGGTGTAGATACTGTGAGCAAGAAAGAACTTCTTCACTAAATCCTACATTAGTAACTGTATAAAAGATCTGCTCAAGGAACTGGAACAAACAGTTCTAAAATTCATATGAAACCACAAAAGACCCCAAA